GAGACAGGTACCGCACTGTTCCTGAACCGGATATCTGAAGAAACAGTCTTCACAACGGCGCGTGACGATGAAGGCACTGGTGTCGTTGTCATCAACAAGCGAGGACAAGTTCTGCATACAACTATCCGGGAGGACAGCCTGATTCCATACATTATGGAGAACCCAGCGTGTGCTGAGATTGCTTACAAGCTTGCTTCAAAGGGCGGACTTCCAGGCGCAGACCAGCTCTACTCGCAACGGTTCGAGACGCTCATGTCCCAGGGCAACTTTGCCGAAGCAGCAAAGGTCGCCGCGAACTCGCCCCGGGGCTTCCTCCGCACAATGAACACAATCAACAGGCTGCGCCAGGTTCCTAGCCAGCCTGGCCAGATCACTACTCTACTACAGTACTTCGGACAACTACTGGATAAGGGCGGACTGAACAGAGAAGAAACTCTGGAGCTAGCTCGTCCTGTTTTCGCTCAGGGCCGTAAGCACCTCATTGAGAAGTGGCAGAAGGAAGGCAAGCTCCACTGCTCAGAGGAGCTCGGTGATCTTGCGAAGCCCCACGATCTGAACCTTGCGCTGGCCATTTACAAGGAAGCGAACGTATCTCAAAAGGTCGTTGCAGCACTCGCTGAGCTTGGTCACTACGATCTGATCTTGCAATACTGCAACGGCGCCGGCTACACGCCTGATTACAACGTCTTGCTTCAGCATGGTCAGTCCTTGTATCAGTCTAGCTTTGACGTGAAGTCCACTAACATATCGCAGTGGTCCGCATATCCCCAGAAAAGGGCGCCGAGTTTGCTTCCCAGCTAGCGAAGAACGAAGGCGGCCCACTGATCAGCATCGACCGCGTTGTCGACATCTTCCAGTCCCAGGGCATGATCCAACAGGCGACCGCCTTCCTTCTGGACGTTCTCTCCAACGATCTACCAGAAGAGGGCCATATGCAAACCAAGCTGCTCGAGATGAACTTGCTCAATGCTCCCCAGGTTGCAGACGCTATTCTCGGCAATGAGATGTTCCACCATTACGATAAGGCGCGCATTGCCCAGCTCTGCGAGAACGCTGGCTTGCTCACTCGCGCTTTGGAACACAACGATGACCCGGCTGCCATTAGGCGTATCATTGTTCAAACCGATAAGCTTCCAGAGGAATGGCTGATCAACTACTTTGGTCAACTCACAGTAGAGCTCTCGCTTGAGTGCTTGGATGCTATGCTGACCACGAACATTCGACAAAACTTGCAGGCCGTCATTCGTATTGCCCAGAAGTACTCAGACCTGCTCGGCGCTACCAAGATCATTGATCTCCTTGAGAAGCATCGCACCGCAGAGGGTCTGTACTTCTTCCTAGGCTCCATTGTCAACGTCAGCGAAGACCCTGACGTTCACTTTAAGTACGTCGAGGCGGCGACGACCATGGGCCAACTTAATGAAGTCGAGCGTATCTGCCGAGAGAGTCCTGTTATTCCTGCCGAGAAGACCAAGAACTTTTTGAAGGAAGCCAACCTCACGGAACAACTGCCACTCATCATCATTTGCGATCGTTTCAACTTTGTACACGACCTGGTGCTCTACCTCTACAAGAAGCAGCAATTCAAGTCTATCGAAGTGTACGTCCAGAGAGTCAACCCTGCTAGGACACCTGCCGTCATCGGCGGTCTTCTTGATGTGGATTGCGACGAAAGCATCATCAAGGGTCTTCTAGCTTCAGTGACACCATCTTCGATTCCAATCGACGAGTTGGTTGCCGAGGTAGAATCGCGAAACCGATTGAAGCTTCTTCTGCCATTCTTGGAGCAGACATTGGCGAGTGGCAACCAGCAACAAGCTGTCTACAACGCCTTGGCTAAGATCTACATCGACTCCAACAACAACCCAGAGAAGTTCTTGAAGGAGAACGACCAATACGATACCCTCACTGTTGGAAAGTACTGCGAGAAGCGTGATCCTAACTTGGCGTTCATTGCCTACAGCAAGGGACAGAATGATCTCGAGCTCATCAACATCACCAACGAGAACGCCATGTTCAAGGCCCAAGCACGTTACCTCTTGGAGCGCGCCGATTCTGAGGTCTGGGACTACGTTCTGAGCCCGAACAACTTGCACCGCCGATCGCTCGTTGACCAAGTCACTTCGTATGCTGTTCCTTCGTCCACCGACCCAGACAAGGTCTCCGTCGCTGTCAAGGCCTTCATCACTGGTGACATGCCTGCTGAGCTCATCGACTTGCTCGAGAAGATTATATTGGAGCCTTCTACTTTCAGCGATAACCCGTCCCTCCAGAACTTGCTTATGCTCACCGCCTGCAAGTCTGATCGTGGCAGAGTCATGAACTACATCCAACAGCTCGACCAATATACCCCTGAGGATATTGCTCAACAGTGTATTGAGGTTGGCATGTATGACGAGGCCTTTGAAATCTTCAAGAAGCAAGAAAACCACGTTGAGGCTGCTAATGTCCTCATTGAACACATTGTCTCAATCGATCGGGCATATGAGTATGCCGATAGGGTTGACACGCCAGAAGTGTGGAGCAGAGTTGCCAAGGCACAGTTGGATGGCCTTCGTGTTACAGACTCGATTGAGTCTTACATCCGCGCCGGAGACGCATCCAACTACTTGGAGGTCATTGAGATTGCTACACATGCTGGTAAAGACGAGGACTTGATCAAGTTCTTGAGGATGGCTCGCAAGACCCTTCGTGAGGTACCCATTGATACCGCCTTGGCTTTCTGCTTCGCTCGTACCAACCAACTAGCCGAGCTCGAGGACTTCCTCCGTGCAACCAACGTTGCCGATGTCGAAGCCTCAGGTGACAAGGCTTATGAAGAGGGCTACCATGAGGCAGCAAAGATTTTCTTCACCAGCATCTCCAACTGGGCTAAGCTTGCAACCACCCTCGTACATCTGGAAGACTACCAAGCTGCCGTTGAATGTGCTAGGAAGGCAAACTCCATCAAAGTCTGGAAGCAGGTTAACGAGGCTTGCGTTGCAAAGAAGGAGTTCCGTCTTGCCCAGATCTGTGGTCTCAACCTGATCGTCCACGCCGAAGAGCTCACCGATCTTGTCAAGCAGTACGAGCGTAACGGTTACTTCGATGAATTGATTAGCTTGCTTGAAGCTGGCCTCGGTCTGGAGCGCGGTAAGTACAACCCCTCTAATGACTACAATGTGTATGAAATGCTAACTGTGCCGTTCCAGCGCATATGGGAATGTTCACTTCTCTAGGCGAGGCTCTTGCCAAATACCACCCCGAGCGTGTCATGGAACATCTCCGTCTCTTCTGGAGTAAGTCACATTCAAGCTCTCTTCATCGCATGTGACTAACAATCGTCCTAGGCCGAATTAATATTCCAAAGCTCATCCGTGCGACTGAGGAGGCTCACTTGTGGCCAGAGCTGATCTTTTTGTATGTCCACTACGATGAGTGGGACAACGCTGCTCTTGCCATGATGGAGCGTGCCGCAGATGCCTGGGAGCACCAAGCATTCAAGGACACCATCACCAAGGCTACCAACGTCGAGATCTACTACCGGGCTCTGGGCTTCTACCTTGAAGAGCAACCGACTCTTTTGACCGATCTCCTTCAGGCACTGACTCCCCGAATCGATGTCAACCGTGTTGTCCGCATGTTCGTCAAGTCTGACAATATTCCTTTGATCAAGCCTTTCCTTCTCAACGTCCAGTCGCAGAACAAGCGTGAGGTCAACAATGCCCTTAACGATCTTCTGATCGAAGAAGAGGACTACAAGACACTCCGAGACTCGGTCAACAACTACGACAACTACGATCCTGTCGATCTTGCCCAGCGCCTGGAGAAGCATGACCTGGTCTTCTTCCGTCAAATCGCTGCCGACATCTACCGCAAGAACAAGCGATGGGAGAAGTCCATCACTCTTTCCAAGCAAGACAAGCTTTTCAAGGACGCTATCGAGACCTCAGCTATGTCTGGCAAGTCGGACGTTGTTGAGGATCTGCTCCGCTACGTAAGTTGTACCCTGCTGTTTCTCAATGCATCACTAACCCGCAACTTAGTTCGTCGACATTGGCAGCCGCGAGTGCTATGTTGGTATGCTATACGCTTGCTACGACCTTCTTCGCCCTGACATCATCCTCGAGATGTCATGGCGTAACGGTCTCCACGACTTCACTATGGTATGTATCTCCTCTTACCCCTCTCTTCTTGCAGATCACTAACTATTTACCAGCCATACATGATCAACCTCATTTCTCAACAGACGGCCGCCATTGAGATGCTCAAGAAGGACAATGAGGAGCGCAAGACCCGCGAAGTCTCGCAACAGAAGAAGGAGGAAGACACTCCGATCTTGGGCTCGCGTCTCATGCTTACCCAGGGTCCGATGACGTCGGCTCCTTCACCAGGTCCATACGGACAGGCTAACGGCATCGCCCCGCAGCCAACTGGAAGCTTTCGCGCCTTCTAGACGCTGTCCGACTTGAAGATGAGATACCTGTTCTGCAAATAAGGGTAGTTAGGATACCTCTTCACATTATATATTGATGATTGGTGGGACATGCAAAAGCGAGCGGAGGGTTCATACATTTTTGGCTGTGTGTGACGATGTACTCTACAGGCGTTCAAGGTAGCCTCTCAGTTTGGATGCTTCAAACATGGAACATCTTCAGACTTCTGTACTCTAGTTAATCACTTTGTTTGTGCTGAGATGTTATATTCCTGCTTATAATGTTCATGCGATGTGATTGACATGTAGCCTGGAGGTTTTTGCAGTAGCCACGTCATTGGCATGTCACTGCATGATACTGCGAAAGCCTTCAGAATGTAACCTGATGTTGGTGGTAGTGAATGAACATTACCTAGGTACTTGCGTCCTGACCCTAAATCCGCATAAAGTCTTAAGCGGACGTAGACTTGCCGCACAGCTGCTCTGCCAGGTTCAAACATTGCAAGAATCTCGCATTATATTGGGAAACAGATTGTAACCTGTGGGTGTACAACGCTGTTTCTATTTGAGTACACTAATGTAAAACATGTTGAATGCCTTCGAGGTACATCGTGATGACAGAGCTGATAGCACGACATCGCATGCTACAATTATCAAGTTCACGAAGGCCAGTAATGCAATCATCGTTGTGGACTTGGATATAGTGGTAAGTATACTAGGTCTTGATATGTTCTCTGGAAGGTACACACCAAGTTTTCTTTTCGAGAACATCGAGGAAATTTACAGCGAATACCTCTCAGAACACACATCAGAATGTGGTACAGCACTCATTAGTACCATGTATACTCTAATTAAAGAGTCTCCTGAAACCTTGAATCAGATGCTTGCAGCACAGTTGTTACTATCGGCTCGAACATTCTACGAAGTCATATTGTGCGTCCATCCTATGAACCATGAGCGATTGGTAACCCTAACCCTGGGTGCAGGATACCTAGGTAAAGGCAAGCAGAGAGCCGACCCACCCCAAGCCTCCCGTGGTCCTCTCAACTAAGAGATCATTAGCGATAGTGACGAGGACATGGATTCCAACGGGCAAACCATGTCTTGTGTCTCAGTCGAAGCTCCGACTAACGATCTGACCGATCCTATCATTAGCGCTTCCAGTGACGCTGCTATTGGTGTGCCTTCGTCCATCGCTGGTACACAGAAAACTCGACGGGGTAGCTTGTCGTATGGCCTCCCTTTCCTGAACTTACGAATCCCAAAATCAGGACAAAGACCACCAGGAAGGTCAGGAGCTGCAAGAAGTTTACACCGGTGAAAGTAGCGCGCATGTCCAATACGGAATGTCCTTGGCAACTCACTTACAGAATGGTGCTTTGACAGGTGGCTCTCTTATTGCATCCGTTCTGGTCGAACTTCAAGGTGATGATGTTGACTAAAGTCCACTGCAAAAGTTGTCTTACATCTAAGACGGTACAGGCAAAGGCCCTTCTCACTGGGATCCCGCCAAACCAAGAGCTCGATTGGGAAGACAGTCACAAAGTGGACTTGCTCAACGCCTCTCACGCCAAGCAAGTGTCCTAGTTCCATTGTAAAGATTCGATTAATCTATGACGTGGTTTCTTGATAGATAGGCGAAGTTCTTCTCCCATGGATCCACAATCAGCGCTCGAGTCATACCTACTCTTCTACACATCAAAGGTACCCCAACAGCACACCAAGATATGCTACGCTTTCTTTTTAGATCCTACCGACGTTAAACACAAAAAATACCTTCAGTGCCATTCGATAGCTCTGTATGTGCTCACGGAATAATTAGTTCAATGATTCAGGTGTTGATGTGCCAAGTAGCGAGTGTTTGAAGCTCCGCCCGCAGTACGCATGCATGGCCTTTGCCAAGTTAGGCTACTACGAGTAATGTTTCCAAATGCAGCCACTGAGTGCCTCAAACGACCCATCGTAAGCTAACGTCACCGGTTTCAGGGTCTTTAAAAGCCAAGTCTGCTCTATAACTTAAATGTCATCAGTAATAGTGAGAGGCGGAACCGCATGAGAATGATGCGCAGTCGGTAATAGCTTAGACCCATGTTCCGAATACTCCTCGCAACCATGCAGGTACGCGACTACCAAGCGAGGAGAAGGCCGGAAAAGTATACTAGGAACGAGGCGAAATAGCGGTTCTGCCCTCTACGGTCGTGAGGAAGCTCGGTATAGAAAACTACACCGAAGCAAAGCGCTGGATAAGCACGACATTTTTCCGCGATGCCGAGCTATCCCCGGCATGTGGCAGACACTGCTATGGGAGCTCGGGATGGAATCAAGCTTGCGAATGGCTTGCTGGAGGGGGTCGATGTGGGTAGCGGTCAAGGTTTCATTGAGCGTCTATCATCACACCGGACAAAATGCATGTGGCTTGGCTAGCCGTCCCACGTGCCTTGTCGGCGTGGGATAGAGCAAAAAGGTTTTATACATGTCTGAGAAATCCGGTAGGCAGTGGGGCAGGGCCTATGACCGCGGTGACAATTTTAATCGTGTCGCACATGGGGTGGTTCCGTCGGCGAACCTTGTCAGTGCCCCTCCATTATCTCCCCGCGCCATGAAGCTCTGGCCAGGTCGTGGCATGCAGCTATCCATGGATAGCTTGGTTGCTTTTCAGGTGGCCGACGGGGTCTTTGCACCGTGTTTCCATCTGGCTTGGCTGTGTGGATCTGTTTTGGGATTAAACTCGCGCTCTGCAGCTTTGAGCGAGTGAGTCGTAGCAAGTAGCAGACCCTGGGTATCCGATTGTCGGTACCATAATAAATTGGCGCTGTATCTGCCTTCTTCTGCGGCTCCAGTCCTCCCCCTCTCCTCCTCTCCTTCTCTTCACTTTCCCTTACCCAACACACATAGCCGTCATTCGAGATGACGACACTTGCAGTTGACCAGAATGCCTCGTCGGCCATTGACGAGAATGACTACGACGAGGACCATGGCGAACACCACCCCCACAGGAACTCAGTCCACCACAAGCTGCGTGCAAGCAGCTCTATCATGCAGCTGAAGAAGCTCCTCGGTAAGTCGACGGAGCTCAATGGCTCATGTGTCGCGTCTTGGGCGCTCTAACAGCTCTCCCAGTCGCCAACCGAGGAGAAATCCCCATCCGTATTTTCCGAACAGCCCACGAGCTGTCGCTGCACACTGTGGCCGTCTACAGTCATGAGGACCGCCTCAGTATGCACAGGCAAAAGGCTGACGAGGCCTACGAGATTGGTGCCCGCGGCCAATACACACCTGTCGGTGCTTACCTGGCGGGTGACGAGATCATCAAGATCGCGGTCGAACACAATGTGAACATGATTCACCCCGGTTACGGTTTCTTATCGGAGAACGCAGAGTTCGCACGGAACGTTGAGAAGGCTGGGCTCATTGTGAGTTTTACCGCTTTGTTTACGCTATGACGAAACTGCGTGGAGGGGTCGCAGCTGCTATCGGCCGCTGTTGAGCCTATCGCTCCCGCACAAGACGAGGCATTGGCGGGGCCGATCAACAAGCAGCCCGGCGCCGATCATCGCAGCGAGCATGGCTTTTGTTTTACCCATGCAACATGCGATTCATGCTTACTTTTTCATTCTAGTTCGTAGGCCCCTCTCCCGACACCATCGACGCTCTCGGTGACAAGGTCTCGGCGCGAAAACTCGCTGTCAAGTGCAACGTCCCCGTTGTGCCAGGAACCCCTGGACCCGTTGAGAAGTTCGAGGATGTCAAGGCCTTCACTGACGAATATGGCTTTCCCATCATCATCAAGGCCGCTTTCGGTGGTGGTGGCCGTGGTATGCGTGTAGTACGCGAACAAGAGACCCTCAAGGACTCGTTCGAGCGCGCAACTTCAGAGGCCAAATCGGCTTTCGGTAACGGAACCGTCTTCGTCGAGCGCTTCCTCGACAAGCCCAAGCACATTGAAGTCCAGCTTCTCGGTGACAACCAGGGCAACGTCGTCCATCTCTACGAGCGTGACTGCAGTGTCCAGCGTCGTCACCAGAAGGTCGTCGAGATTGCTCCCGCAAAAGATCTTCCAGTTGAGACCCGTGATGCTATTCTTGCCGACGCTGTCAGGCTTGCACAGAGTGTCAAGTACAGGAACGCCGGAACTGCTGAGTTCTTGGTCGACCAGCAAAATCGCTACTACTTTATCGAGGTTAGTATTCTATACCAATGTGTACAGAATATGTTTACTGAATATTCCGCAGATCAACCCCCGTATCCAGGTCGAGCACACTATTACTGAGGAAGTCACCGGTATCGACATTGTCGCCGCACAAATCCAGATTGCAGCTGGTGCATCTCTCGAGCAGCTTGGCCTGACTCAAGACCACATCTCTACACGAGGCTTTGCCTTCCAATGCCGAATCACCACAGAAGACCCCGCTCAGAGCTTCGCACCCGATACTGGAAAGATCGAGGTCTACCGCTCTGCTGGTGGTAACGGAGTCCGTCTCGATGGTGGTAACGGTTTTGCTGGAGCAATCATCACACGTAATTACTACCCACCTTTCAGCCAGATACCTCTGCTAACCGTCCTCGTTTGTAGCTCACTACGACTCCATGTTGGTCAAGTGCTCTTGCCGTGGTTCCACATACGAGATCGTCCGCCGAAAGATGCTACGTGCTCTAGTAGAGTTCCGTATCCGTGGCGTCAAGACCAACATCCCCTTCTTGATCAAGCTCCTCACTCACCCCACCTTCGTTGACGGACAATGCTGGACAACCTTCATCGACGACACACCCGCTCTCTTCGACTTGATCGGCTCCCAGAACCGTGCTCAGAAGCTCCTCGCATACCTTGGTGACCTCGCTGTCAATGGTAGCCAGATCAAGGGCCAGATCGGCGAGCCCAAGTTCAAGGGCGTTATCCCCATCCCGGCCATTCACGACAACAGCGGCAAGAAGGTCGACACATCCGCCCCTTGCACCGAAGGTTGGAGGAATGTCATTCTCAAGGACGGTCCTGAGGGATTCGCAAAGGCTGTTCGTGCCAACAAGGGATGCTTGATCATGGACACCACATGGCGTGATGCCCATCAGTCACTACTCGCAACTCGTGTCCGAACTGTTGACTTGCTCAACATCGCCAAGGAGACTAGCCACGCTTTCTCCAACGCTTGGGCTCTTGAGTGCTGGGGTGGTGCGACCTTCGACGTCGCCATGCGCTTCCTCTACGAAGACCCCTGGGAGCGTCTTAGGAAGATGCGCAAGCTCGTACCCAACATTCCCTTCCAGATGCTTCTTCGTGGTGCTAACGGAGTCGCATACTCCTCGCTACCCGACAACGCCATCTTCCACTTCTGTGAGCAAGCTAAGAAGAACGGTGTCGATATCTTCCGTGTCTTCGATGCGTTGAACGACGTTGAACAACTTGAGGTTGGTGTCAAGGCTGTCCTCAAGGCCGGCGGTGTTGCCGAGGGAACAGTGTGCTACAGGTAAGTCTCACATATAGGGATTGCGCATACGAAACATACTAACTCAATATTCCAGTGGTGACATGCTTAACCCCAAGAAGAAGTACAACCTGGAATACTACCTGGATGTTGTCGACAAGATTGTCAAGATGGGTGCTCATATCCTCGGTATCAAAGACAGTGAGTTTTTCAATACGCGATATACGTGTAAAACATGTGCTGACTTCCCCTTTAGTGGCTGGTGTACTCAAGCCCCGTGCTGCCCGTCTCCTGATCGGCACCATCCGCGAGAAGTACCCCAACCTGCCCATCCACGTACATACTCACGACTCTGCTGGAACCGGTGTTGCATCCATGGTTGCTTGCGCTGAGGCTGGTGCAGACGCTGTTGATGCCGCCATCGACAGCATGTCCGGTATGACATCCCAGCCCAGTTTGGGCGCCATCCTCTCCTCCCTGGAGGGTACCGACTTTGATGCTGGCCTGGACGCGCACATGATCCGTAACTTGGACGCATACTGGGCCCAGCTTCGTCTCCTCTACTCGCCCTTCGAGGCTGGTCTTACCGGACCTGACCCTGAAGTATACGAGCACGAGATTCCCGGAGGCCAGCTTACCAACCTTATCTTCCAAGCATCGCAACAGGGTCTCGGTGAACAATGGGCTCAGACCAAGAAGGCATACGAGCAGGCCAACGACTTGCTCGGTGACATCGTCAAGGTTACCCCCACCTCCAAGGTTGTCGGTGACTTGGCCCAGTTCATGGTCTCCAACAAGCTTTCCTACGACGACGTCCTAGCCAAGGCTGAACAACTCGACTTCCCGTCCTCCGTCTTGGAGTTCTTCGAGGGACTCATGGGTCAGCCATACGGTGGATTCCCTGAGCCGCTCCGATCTCAGGCTCTCCGTGAGCGAAGGAAGATGGACAAGCGCCCTGGCCTCTACCTTGAGCCTGTCGACATCCCTAAGATCAAGGCAGAGCTCAAGGCCAAGTGGGGCGATGCTACTGAGTGTGATGTAGCATCGTACATCATGTACCCTAAGGTCTTCGAGGACTACAAGAAGTGGACCACCAAGTACGGAGATCTCTCCGTTCTTCCTACTCGTTACTTCTTGTCGCGCCCTGAGATCGGCGAGGAGTTCCACGTCGAGCTTGAGAAGGGTAAGGTTCTTATCCTCAAGCTCCTCGCCATTGGTCCTCTTTCCGAGCAAACTGGTCTGCGTGAGGTCTTCTACGAGATGAACGGCGAAACCCGTACTGTGACTGTCGAGGACCAGCACGCCGCTATTGAGAACGTATCACGACCCAAGGCCGACCCCACAGACAGCAGCCAGGTCGGATCACCCATGTCTGGTGTCTTGGTCGAGGTTCGTGTCCACGACGGTAGCGAAGTCAAGAAGGGTGACCCTGTTGCTATTCTCAGCGCCATGAAGATGGAGATGGTCATCTCTGCACCACACTCCGGAAAGGTCAGTGGCCTTTCTGTGCGTGAAGGTGACTCGGTCGACTCTGGCGACCTGGTCTGCAAGCTCGTCAAGTGAGCATATCACATGTAGGATTGGCGTTGTTTAATGAGAATTATGAAATCCAAGAATGGAAATGATTAGATAGTAACGAACGAATCACGGCGCTGGAGTGCCATTTCAACTTCACACATGTTCACCTGCTGCCTTGAAATGTGCTGTGTGCTCTGCAAAAGATTCCTTTTTCTATGGGGTTATGCTCAGTAGTGGCAACGCTGATATATATGCAAGGCTTTCAATTTCTGACTATAGTGTGTAGCTGTGATGTTGTCACCGAGTGCTTGCCTTTTAGTGCGCTTACAACATGGAAGATATTGTCGTCGTCCACTTATCCCCATGATTGATTGGTCATGTCCATGGCCTCATGCTATATTTTTAGCCGCTCGGAGTGTCTACTATCTTAGATACGTGCAGGAGTAAATATACTACGATTGGATATGATCGAGATGGCATGTGAGCAACCACATGCATCTTGTAACTAGTACGTGGCAAAGACACCACCTATGCACAATTTTGACCTGAGTCATATGTTTGTGGAACCGCGGAGAAGTAACCGATCATTTGAAGTTTACATGTAGTGGAAGCATGCAGTGTTGTGTGTGTGCATTGAACTTCGGGGGCTGATACGCCGAACAAAAAAGCTATCTACGGGCCCCAGACTCCAGGAAATGCAGCATGGCTAGCCTAGACGAAACGGCAAGCCTTACCCGTATGCAGGTGCTCTTGAACCGAGCTCCAAACGCCCAAACGCCCATGCCAGATCGAAGGGATCCACTAGACCGAACCGCTGTCGGGTGATGTCGGAATGGGCATCTACCCCATGGAGCCGAAGTCAAGCTTTCTTGCTACCTTGTCCGCACGACCATTGGTAGGCGTCTCTCCTCCCCTCCGCTTCAAATCCTCGCCCATGGCCTTTGCCCCACCGCCTTCTTTTGGCAAGTTCTCCTTCTTTGTGGGCCGGGGTGCATTGGTCCACCATTTATCCTCTAGCGCTTTCCGGGCAGTGTACCTTTTCATCGGGTCCAAGGTCAACAAGCCTCTGATGAAATCGCATCCATCGTCTCCCAGGGTGGAGAATTGCTGTTTCCACCAAGCGCGAGGGCGTGTCTGTCGGAAGGCTGTGGAACCTTGTGGGCCAGTTTGTTTGTCAGGCGCAACGTAGTACGGGAGAGACGAGACACCTGGCCATGTCTCCTCGGTGGGCGTTCCAAATTTCTCGCAGATGACGGCGACTTGCTGAATATCTGTGTCGGAATAGAGGAACCAGTTGCGAATACACAGTTCTGCCATCAGGACGCCGATACTCCACATGTCGGCCGTGCCACCGTAATGCGAACAACCGTACAGCAGCTCTAACGGACGATACATGCGTGTGATGACCATGGTAGTCATCTTGGTTCCTGGATCAGCAAAACTCCGCGCAAGACCGAAATCAGCAAGCTTGACCGTCCCGTCGGCGGCAATCAGGGCGTTGCTACCCTTGATATCGCGATGTAGGACAAAGTTCTCGTGGCAGAACCAGATTCCCTGACACAGCATGTTCATCCAAGATTTAATATCCGCCTTTGTATATGTAATCTCCTTGTTCTTCCATAGCTGCTCCAAGTCTCCTAGAGGTAGATGTTCGAGTACAAAGGACAAGTTCTGGTCCTTGCTTGAGAAGACGTCGTGTAGTTTGATGACGTTGGGATGGTCAATCTCGAAGAGGAACTGCATTTCGCGAAGAGCATCGGGGGCGATTCCGTTGGGGTACTCGGCGTTGAGCTTGATCTTTTTGATGGCGACGAGCTTCTTGGGATTATTGACATAGTGAGCCTGGAAGACAACGGCATATGTACCCTCTCCTAGCTTCTTGCCCATGACGAACTGGCTGCGAACGCGGTCGTTCATTTGCTCAGCGAGATCCATGCCGCCGTCTCGTGCCATAGGGGCCGCCGGTGGTATAGCCGGTGACCTTGTGGGCTTGGTCGTATGGCTTGGGAGCGCGAGAGTTCTGGCCTTGGTCGCATCTTGGAATGGTGCGCCAGGCGGGTTCGGCCGTGGGCTCAGGACAGCTGGTGATGCCATGGTGAAGTCGTGTTAGGACGGACGGCCTTAAAAAGATGGCAGAGTATTGGCGTTAGCGGTTGCTCCACAGCTCTCGTAAAGTATGCAACGCAATCTCCATACCGCAATCCTCCTCTTTCAGATGGTGAAGGTAGTGAGCGCGTACTTGGCTGGTGGGTGAGCGGTCGCGTTGGAGAGACCGCGGCGGCCGCCATGCACGTCCCCAAACATTTTGGCTTGGCCGCGCTTTTCAGCGGGGAGCTCTTCACCACCGACGCCTACGCTGTCGCACATCACATACAGTATGGCTACTTCTACGCGAGGACCGCCAGGCACCGTCGCCGTTTCCAAAGAGGGTATCCCAAACAGGACGTGAGTCAGTCCCTCCAACGCCCAAGAACATGTGCTGACGTCCAACAGCTTATACGTGCGCAACCTCCCCGACAAGCTACAAAAAGAAGACCTCAAGCGAAACCTGTACATGCTGTTTGCTACCTATGGCGTCATCCTCGATATTGTTGCGCTCAAGACGATGAAGATGCGAGGCCAGGCGCATGTTGTGTTCCGCGACGTTGATTCCTCGACCCAGGCCATGCGCGCTCTGCAAGGCTTCACTTTCTTTGGAAAGGACATGGTACGTCTGTTTCCAGCCAATGAATTCATGTGGGACATGCTGACATTCGCAGCAAATTGCGTATGCAAAGACCAAATCCGACACCGTAGCCAAGCTGGACGGTACCTACAAGATGCCCGAGCCTGAGCGTGAACACGAGCCTGAACAAGCACCTGCGCAGCCCGCAGGTTTCGGTGCTGCACCCGAGAAAGCAGTACCTGTAAATGTGCAAGACGCAGCCAAGGGCCAGAAGAGAGGGCGCGAGGAGGAGGAAGAAGAGGAAGAGAATTCGGACGCGGAGATGGAGATGGACGTGAGCGACGACTCGGACTAGATCTTCAAGAGTTATGGAAGAATATGATACCCACGAGCAACGACCAGAATCTAAAGGGCACTTCAGAGAGATTCGTTTACTTGAACCATCTACGAATGTGTACGAAGATACATCACTGCTAGCCTGGGATGGTGCTGACCCGATCTAGACCCATGCTATTGAGCGGTACTGGTACATGACATGGCCGTGGATCCTGGGCACCCTCTGAAATGAGCAGCCCAGAAACGTTGAGTTCTACTTTGGCCCTCAACTACAACGCTCTTCGTCGGCCACTCCTCTTACTACGAAGATGCTTGTCCTTTCCAACTTGTGCCGGATGTGTAAAAGAGTCTGTCCTGTGACTTCAAGTGTCACATATATACAACATGTCAACCCTTGATAGTATATACTGTCTTCTTTCGTGGGTATTTTGATAGAGTTACAGCAAGTAGCTACAGGATACTTTTTGGTATCAAGTACAATTCAAAGAAAGACCTTCGTCATAGCCCGATGGCCAGGCCTTTCTCCAACGAAAAGCTTCGTAGTTCAAGACGAATCTAAGCGTGCTTGTTCATGCAAGCGTCGAGCAGGCCCAATAGTTCAGACTTTCGCTTCTCTCCTATCCAGCTGCCGTGAATCGAATTGCTAACGATTGTCCTCCATTCCTCCATGCTTAAATTGAAGGCCTCTTGCACCGCGCAATAATTGTTTAATATGTATCCACCAAAGTACGCTGGGTCGTCGCTGTTGATACTGAATTTTACACCTGCATCGAGGAATGTCTTGATTGGCACTTGGCTGACCTTCTCCACAGCCTGGAGGCAGACATTGCTCAAAGGGCAAACCGTCAGTAGTACCTCCTCTTTTACCACTCGGCTAAGCAGTTCGGGATCTTCTGTGAGACGGATGCCGTGGTCGATGCGTTCGGCTTGTAACGCATCAAGTGCTCCGCTAATGTAAGTTGGGTCACCCTCTTCACCCGCATGAGCTGTCCTCCGTAGACCTCTCTTTTCGCCCTCGCGATACATGTCCACAAAGAGTTCTGGGCGGAATCCAACCTCTGACGAGTCCAGCCCAAGTCCAGTAATAGCGCGCTCCTGGCTGTCGCTCTTAACATCAAAGTGCCCGCCCTTGACGGCCAATGCCATGGTCTCCGCCGCGGAACTAGCAGGCAGATGCCTCAAAAAACACATAATCAGACAACTCGTTATTCCCAGCTCTTTTTCCGCCCGTACTCTTGCGGCGTTGAACCCACGTACCACAACATCAAAATCAATTCCTCTTTCCGTGTGACTCTGCGGGTCGAAGAAAACCTCCGCATGACGAACTCCGTCCTTGGCTGCAGTGGTGAAATACTCCCATGCAAGCATCTCAAAATCCTCTTGGTGCACTACGACTGCGATGCCACGGTAGTAGTACGCCAGGAAATCATCGAGGTTCGTGAAATGTGAATAGCGTTCGGTGAGTGTTGCAGGAGACGTGTAAGAGACATCCTCAGATGGCGATGGCAAGGTGATGTTGTTCTTAGACGCTAGAGTGAATAGAAGGCTTGGACTGAGGCAGCCTTCTAGATGGAGGTGATGTTCGCATTTTGGGAGGTCCGCTAAGAACGTGTGAGTGGGAGATTTGCACATGGTGTTTGATATATGAAGAAGTAAGAAGTCTCGTACGTTGGAATTGTTAGATGAAGAGATTGGATATAAGTTTTTGGCTTTTTCGAAAGACGGGCTGTTTAGGACTAGTTTTCTATCGGAGTCTGACGGCGACTGTCGGTGTTCGCCGGCCTTGCTGGGATAATGGAGATGCTCCAACTAAAGGGTGGATCCCAGATTGGGCTTGCAAAATGTGTTCGCTCCTGTCGAACACGTTTTGTAAGCGCGCCAACTTCACACGAGGATGCTTATCGCTCAATTTCATCGTTGAACGTATATAAATGCCCACATAGGCGGTAGGATTTTATTAGTGTTCAGGCTTTTGTTGACCGCGGCTCGTATATAGTCTTCCCGAACTCTTCCAACAAGCCTTCCTTTTCCGCATCTTCTCTCGTTGAAGAGGTTGTTCTACTCCTGGCATTGATCGTCGGCAATGTACAATCACCTATTGTCCTCTCTCCATCGCCAAAAGTTCGTTTGAAAACACCGTCGTAACTGGTCCACATACCCGCAAAGATCATGGCACTGAGCTTTGCCAGCCACCAAGGTGACCGCCCCTTCTTGTCTTGCAGCTTCCTCCCCATTGTGAAGATAAACATGACGAACGGCATCCAGATGGCCAGGAAAATAGCCTTTCCCATTTCCTGCTTCTTGGTTGTGATTGTGTATGTGCGTATATTGTTTAGGTATTCTTGATACTCGTCGGGAAGTTTGCATTCGGCGGCGCCATCGGTTATGAGCTTGAGGTATCGTGCCGAAGGCTGCGCATAGCTAGGGTCGGGCCGCGTTACACGGTCGGTGGTTCGTTGCTTGGTTTCTCGGTCTATAATGGGCGCGAAGAGTGTGTGGGCCTTGAACGGCTTCGAATCGGGTGTAGAGGGGACCGTGTCAGAGGGTGGCAGCACATGGCAGTCAACTAGGATATCGTTGTAGGCACTCCCTCCGCCCTCTGTGGCGATGATGTGCGCGTAATCAGAGAGCGTCACCTCATACACGACGCCCACCAAGCCCTTGTGCCATCGGTCCTTGTGGTAGTCCTGCGCGTCCGGCTCCCGCAGCGCTGTGTTGGCAAAACAGGGCTCTTTGTATGGGATACCGGGCAGGTCAAAGGTCAACCTCAGCGAGGGAACAAGGACATTGACTTGTGAAAGCGGACGGATGCCGCGCACGCCTCGGAAGGTTTCGTTGCACAGATTCGAGCCATATGCCAGGTACAGCACTGTTTTGGCCTTCTCTTGCGTTGCTGTCGATTGTTGCGACACGAGCTTCTCTGTGTCCAGGGGCGCGTCGTTCAGCGAGGCATCGAGACGCGCCTGGGATGGTGCGAGTACGGCTTCGAAGACGACCGTCATGGTGGGGTTCGGATGTTCTTGTGTACTACAAACAACAGCGTTACCAGCTACTTCATATACTGCGCGTAGCTTCCGGAACGGCCTGTCCGCTGGTGATTTCGTCCGTATGTCGGGGCCTACATCATCGATTTCTCATCATAAGCCCGATGGTCCGAGCACGAGCGCCCGACTCTACTCACCGTAAGCCGCACGACCACACGCATACTCTCAGGCCAGCCTACTATACCACGTTACTTATTCCTACACGACTGCAGTAGTTGTCAGCGGTAACTGTGGGCCACCCTTGCACGGTAGCAGGTCATGTCGTATCCTTCGTACACCGTACTAGCGCTTGTCCCAGCTGTCGCATGGCTTGTGTACCTCCAGATAAGCCAATGGCGCTTCAAACGATATGCGCATATTCCCGGCAAGCTGTCATCCAATCTCCTCTTTGGGCACCTTGGTCATATCGCGGCTGAATACAGGAGAGCTGGATTCAGCAGTACCGTTCACCCGGGTAGGATCCACATCCTAGTCACTGGCCTCCGCTGACAGCAGGCAGACTATGTGTTTGAAAATATATGGAATGCCCAAGGTAGCCCTGAATACATGTTTTTCGACACGAGACCTGTGCAATACCCACTCGTTCTCGTTGCATCCCATGAGATGGCCGAGCAGGTTTCAAGAGCCAGCAAAACGCAGCAATATAGTGTCACCAAATCTCCAACTGTTCAGCAAGGATTTGGAGAGCTTATTGGTAGATATTCCTTGATCAGCGAGAACGGCGAATCTTGGAGAGGGCTTCGCAAGACATTCAACCCTGGCTTTGCGCCGCAGCATTTGCTTACCCTACTTCCGGTTGTCGTAGACAAGACTTGTACGTTTGTAAAGAGGCTCGACGCATTGGCGACCTCTGGCGTTGCAGTTGAGATGGAGAGTTACTGCACAGACGTTACCTTTGACATCATTGGTGATGTAGTCACGAACATTGACTGTAGGGCCCAGGACGATAGCGAACAAGCCCATGATATCGTTCGTAACTTCCGCACGCTCAAGGCTGTATACACTGGTGACAACGGTCTGATGGCTTCCTGGTTGAACCTGCCTTTGCGCGTTAAGAAGTACATCTACAGCCAACGGCTCGACTCGGCCGTCAAGAAGTGTATCTTGGAGAAGTTCGCAGACATCAAGGACGCTCAGCATTCCGATACAAAGGGAAAGAAAGACCGATCGGTCCTGGCGCTGGCACTAGAAGGTGTTGACGAGCTGACTCCATATATCTTGCAGAGTACCGCAGATTCAGTGAAATCGTTCCTTTTCGCAGGACACGATACCACTGCTATCCTCCTACAGAGGCTGTTTTATGCCCTTTCAATACATCCAGATTGCCTCGCAAAGATTCGTGCGGAACACGATGCCGTCTTCGCCGACTCCGAACCAAGCGACGTGTTCCTCGAGCGACCGGATGAGACCATGAAAGCGCTAAAGTACACATCTGCATGCATCAAAGAAGCTTTGAGACTTTGGCCTCCAGCAGGATCGGCACGAATGTCACACAACGGCTTCAAATTGCGCACTTCGGATGGAGACGACGTGTGCGTCGACAAATGCGTCATATACTTGTGCCATCACATTATTCAGCGAGATCCCAAAGTGTACGGAGACACAGCAAACGATTTCGTCCCTGAGCGCTGGGTTGGTGACTCCGATACCAGCAGCGCTTCAACCGAAGACGACGGATCAACTGCTGGCGAGAGCAAGATACCCATTAGCGCATGGAGAGCATTTGAGCGGGGACCGCGTAATTGTATTGGCCAGGAACTTGCTAACATGGAGGCTCGCGTGATTCTGGCATGCGTCATGCGACGATATGACTTCGTCAAGGTCGGATTGGGAGAAGTCGATACAGACGACATGGGTCAGCCTGTCATGGACCGGAAGGGCAAATACAAAACAAAGTCTGATTTGATCAACGTAAGCTACTATCCCCTTTCGCAAAATAATGCAAGCGACTTACTCTTGGATAGACAATGTCCATCACAGCCAGGCCTGTCGACAAAACCATCATGCGTGTCAAATTCCGCGGGTCCACGAATTGACGAACCATGACGTTTAGAGATATGCGGTTGTGGCCGTATTTGTAGACGGTAGATGCTAGACTACTCTCTTGCCATACACATGAAAGAAACTGAACAGACACAGCAACATCAGAACTGCTACTGCAGCCTACAATAGTGTGTGAGCAAATGGTTCATATGTTTTGACAGCTTTATAGACTTCTAGGTTCTTGATCTGCGTTATCCTCTAAACTGTAAATTTCGTCTTGTTCTCCTGAGCGCAATCCTCCGCAATTTTCCGCACCTGCTCCTGGCCTAGTTCTTCGAAAATGTCGAAACCCCATCGCGACTGTACGTTGAACCGCTTGTGTCTCTCCAGACCGCTCAGCTCATCGAAAGCATCCTTCGGTAGTTCCTTGACCTGCATATTACTCTTGATTCTGCTCGGCGTGACACTCTTGGGCAGGACCACAGTGCCCCGCTGAATACCCCAGCTCGCAAGCAGCTGGCCGCCGTCCATACCTAATCTGTGACCTAAGACGCCCACTAATTCGTCGTCGACAGTCCGCGGCTCCCCTGTTTGGTTGTTTCCAAGAGGCGAATAGGCTTCAATCAAGATACCTTTGCTCTTGCAAACATCGAAGAGAGCAGGCTGCTGGAGGTATGGATGTGCTTCGATCTGATTTACCGCTGGCACAACATCAGTCTTCGATAGAAGATCGTTGAGGCGTTGAATAGTGAAGTTAGATACGCCAATGGCGCGAACCTTGCCGGTGTCAAGTAGCTTCTCCATGGCTTTGTATGTAGTTGCAGGATCAATGTCGACGAGGTCAAACACACCACTCTCGCGTAGTGGGAACCACTTGCCTGTGGCACCATTGAATGCACTTCATCTGTGTCAGTATCATGTGTATGCAATGGAAAGGATATGTGACATACACTGGCCAATGCATCAGGAACAAATCTAGATACTCGACGCCTAGATCTTGAAGCGACTTGTCGAGAGCAGCTTCTACATCCTCTGGCGCATGTTTGGTGTTCCAAAGCTTGCCAGTAAGGAAGATTTCAGAGCGAGGAACACCACTCCTCCTTATGCCGTCACCTACTTCGGCTTCATTGCGGTAGATGGCAGCGCAATCAATGTGGCGGTAGCCTGCTTTGAGCGCCGTCTCGACAGCGCGTTCGACTTCTCCTGGCTTCGCTTGCCATGTGCCGAAGCCTACAGCCGGTATCTGCGCGCCTGTGTTGAGGGTGAAATGTGTGGGGATAGGCATGATGCTGGTCGTGGTGTGACGCGACGTGATGAGAGATAACACTGCGCGCGATCAGAATCGATACAGGCTTCTATAATGCAATGCTAAAAGAGTGGCCAATGTTTGGAAACGGGGTACAGCCATCTGAGCGATATATACATCCAACTTATGTTCTCCATGTCCGACGGAGAGACGCAAGTATCGGAAGGAGCGACCGGAAACGACTCCGGAAAGAACGATGCTAGCACAAAACGCAGCAGTGCCTCCCGAGGTTGCGGCTAGTTTTCCCAACGGCTTCATTCATGCCTTCAAGTTGCACCCGTGAAATCTGGAGTACCTATGGGGTGGTCGGTTAGCGTTCCGAAGCTTGGCAGCGGATTCTTCGGACGGAACGCGGATTTGCCTCATCTTTCCTACTCCACAATGTCTAATGATGCAGCACCAAGCGGCACGGTACCCCGGAAGCGGAGCCTTGACGTCGCACCAGGCAGCAATAATACGAGGCAACGACTGGTCAAAGTTACGAGAGCCTGCGATGTATGCAAGGCGAGGAAGTCAAAGTGCTCCGGCGACCAGCCGTGCGAGACCTGTACCCGCCGGGGGTTGACATGCCAGTACGAAGCCGCCTACTCGCGAGGCAAAGTAGTCTCCCCACGCCCAGTTCACCCAGCAGCTGTGAATCCTCAGCAGCCCGCGTCGGCGCCAGCCTATCCTCATGCTATACTCAGTGTCGCACCAACTATGAATGTCGTCGGCGAGGAGACGGAACCTCCGTCGCGGGCTTCTCCTGGACTCGAGGTAGCTGGCCAGTACTCCGACTCAACATCTGGTCTTTCATTCTTGAATCGCGCGTGGCGGCGTATCTCCAATAAGGAAACTAGCCTAGTAAATGGGCTGGGGTCCACAGAAGACCGTCAATTGCTGATGAGCGCGGGTGACAAGCCGTTCCTAGAGACTGGAGAAATGAAAATGCCTTCGTTAGATCGCAGTCGTCAGCTTCTCCATTTGTACTTCGACGTGTGTATTGCGACCTATCGGCTATTACATAGACCTACTGTCGAAGCGTGGTTGGAGACTGTGTCTGATAACGCGAAACAGCACCGAGCCCTCTTTCATGGTATGTACGACTGCAACTCGAGAGAAAAAAACATCTCACTTACAAGTCATATTGATATAGGTCTTGGTCGCGCCAAGACTTCGGCAGTGTTGTCAGTGTTGGCGATCGCATCATTCCATGAAGAGAAGGCAAGTGGAGAGATTGGTCTATCACCAGTGACCCAACCCGACATGCAGTTGCAGAGCGACATGCTGTTTATAGAAGCTTCACGTTTGACCCTAGCCGAGACTGGTATCCCAAAGCTTGAGTCAGCACAATGCAGGCTTATACAGGTCTTGTATCTTCTCATGTCATGTCGTTTCAACCAGGCATGGTATACGTTTGGACACGCTTTGCAGATTATTTCTGCTTTGGGGTTGCATCGAAGAGACGATCGCAAACGACAAGCAACCGCCACCAGACGGGATTACATCGATGAACAGTGCAGAAAACGCACGTTCTGGGTAGCCTACACCCTAGACAAGTACCTTGGCGTTATTTTCGGCAGGCCCAGGTACGTTGGGACTTTATGAAATGCGTGTGGGACATACACTGACACCGTACTTCCGCTTTGACAGGCACTATCACGATGAAGATATCGACCAAGATTTCCCCAACGCTGTCAACGACGAAGATATGACTAGTACAGGCCCAAAAACCACAAGCACAGATGACTGCCATATAGAGTCGCTGGTGTATCATGCTAGACTAGCACAGATTGCCGAGAAGATATCGCGAGAAGTCTATTCCATCAAACCAGTATGTTAAATGACGTTACTTTACAAGAAGTCATACTTACCAAGCTCTATCATCAGGTGCCAGATCAGATTCGACTTGCAGCCTCTCATCGCTTAGCCGCAGAGCTACGCCAGTGGAAAGCATCGCTACCACCATTCCTTGGTGCTGTCAATCCTAGTAGCCTAATCCCAACTTTCCGGCGACAGGCAACGGCACTCAAGCTCTCTTATTGCCATGCTGTCATCCTAGCGCATCGGCCGTTTCTCCTGAAGAACACTAGACGCGGCAATACTGAGATGCATATCCTCGCGAAAGACAGCCTTGCAGAGTGTCTTACAGCTGCACGATCAGTATTGGAAGCAGTAGACCGTATGGCGCGGGAGGGCCGTTTGTTTCACGCATTCTGGTGGACTCACTATGTATGCTTCTGTGCTTTGGTAGTAGTTTATGTATGGGCTATTCAACAGAGTACCCACAACACAGCCTCGGTGGAAGACCCCCGCAGAATTTTGGATCAAGCTGAGAGCTGTATGCAGCATCTTGCCCAGGCAACTGCCTCAAATTCACCCTCACGACGCTATAGCATCATCCTGCAGGAACTCCGTACAGAGGCAAAGCGGAAAACAGCAAGGTCACGTCAAGAGCAGGCACACTCATCGTCAAATACGGGTGAGACTAGAGCTTCCGTAGCGTTAGGTGGCGAAACGGCACGAGACATTTGTTCCGATTCTGCTTTGGAAGCCTTGCAGCCGATCTTTGGTAGTAGCCCAATGGACGTGACCACACCAGGACTGCAAACCTTCCTGGACGATTGGCAAACGACCGACTGGCTTGATCTTGATGCGTCCGCATTTGGCCCTTTTCCCGAGATAGATGAGTTGGAGATTGCCTGGATGAACAACGTATCTTAATGGTTGGGAGGCGACATTATGCTGGAGCTTATACCTTCTTAGGATCCAAATGTCCCCAGGAGATATTCGATGTATGTGGAGTTATCACAACAATCGCACAAAGATAGTGTGTACCTTCGGGGTACATTTCGGTATCAATTGAGACTCGGAGTATCCGAGATTGTCGAGCTTCGTATTAGAGCCTTTGCCAACATAATAATAGAACACAACTCTCTATACCGCACCCATCCATCCAACTTCGTCAACTTCCTCATCCCTTCTCATTACTCTTACAAAGTGTATCGGAACAACGGAGACTTGTCACCCATGTCCAGTAGCTCTTGGTCTGAATACTTTGCCCGAATCTCATCCTCGCTGAGCCTTGCCTTCTTCGTGTTGCCCCATTTGTACGACAACTCCAACAGGAACGCAACAATGAAACCAGTCGCGCCGAATGCCAACGACAGCCCAAAACCAGTGTAGTACTTTGGCTTCTCGCTCTCGAGGTACATATAGCTGCCAATGACGCCTCCGATGTTGCCAACGCAGATGTTGAAGGCAACGCCAATGGCACGGCGAGAAGAAGGGGCAAGGTTGTTGGCTGCCCAACTGCTTCCGGCCGGTTGAATGGGGTAGATACCCATGCAGGTCAAGATGATGGCAAAGAAAGCCGGACCGATGTTGCCACCGAGGTCGCCATCGAATGAAATGACCACAGCGTACCCGATAAAGATGAAGGAAAGGGGAATAGCGACGAACGGCAAACGCCAGTAAAACCGATCAGAGAGCTTAGCAAAGAAAATCGAACTCAAAGCGCCGGCCACGTACGGCGGCACCGTCATGAGTTGAGCATTGGTGTTGTCGAATCCCATACTCTTCGTGATGGTGGGCAAGGTAAACTTCGTTCCTGTATGCCAGTCAGCGAGTATTCTTCTTTACTCCAAGTTGTACGTACCGTATGAACACGCCGATATGCAGAGCAGGATGTATGCTTGCATGTATAGGCGCCAGTTGCATAACACGGCCTTCAAATCGCTCCACTTGAAACTCTCTTGCTTTTCCTCTCCAAACCTTCCACCGTCCTTGATGAATCGTTGGAGCTCGAGGAAGCGAATCTCGTCAGGCTTTAACCATCGTCCGCTCAAGGCAGGGGAGTCGATCAAGAGGAAGAAGCACGAGACACCGAGTGCAACAGTAACGATGCCTTCCAAAAGAAAGATCCATCTCCAACCTTCGTATCCTCCGACGCCATCCATCTTGGCGATGGCTGCGGCAAGCAGACCACTGAATGCTCCAGATAGTGCCGATGCACAATAGAAGTACGAGATTCTCGTCGCGAGATCCTTTGGCATGTACCAGTAAGAGCAAAGATAGATTGCGCCCGGAAAGAATCCAGCCCTGTTTGTCGTCAGCAGAGTACATATCGCTGACGCGTAAGACTTACTCGAACACGCCGAGAAGGATACGAGTAGCTAGCAACCCAGCAAAGTTCTTCACCACGCCCATCGAAGTCATAACAATGCCCCAACATACGATAAGTATGCCAAGGTAGTAGGATGGACGTTTGAACTTCTTCAAAAGAATATTCGAGGGAACTTCAAGAAGGATGTATGGCACGAAGAACACCGATAGAACGATGTTCCATTGCACCCCATCGAGACCGAGGTCAGTGACCATGCCTTCGATCTTTGCGTTCTGTCGGACGTCAGAATAAGCCCCAAGGCTGAACCAGCTACCCATTGCGACTTGCGCGCATATGCAACACTTACTCCGATGTTCGCTCGATCGATATGAGATATGAGATAAAGGATCGCAAGCATTGGGACCAAGCGGATGTCCACCTTCAGGCTGTTAACAGGGATCGACTCAAATGCAACAACAGTCGTTGCTTACCTTGTGGATTACTCTCTTCCTCTGCTCATCCGAGTAGTTGATGTAGAAGTCCGCATCCTCAGGTGCCAAACCTAGCACTTGGAAGTTGTCGATCTTGATGATCTGATGTGGTTTCGGCGACTCGATCGATTCCGCCTTCTCATCGATGTATTGAATCTCGCTCTTGTCCATTGACGGAGACATTGTGACTAGTGGATAGCGAAGACGTGTCAGGAAAACGAGATGAGAACACAAGGTCGATGCGAAGATCGGAGTGAGATAACCCTGAGCAATGTCGGATCCCAGAAGCTTTATACACGAGATCCTGGTTGCGGCACACCATGTTGATAGCAGCTGGCTTGCGGAGAAACAAAGCCACCCCAGTCTTTCGATTTTCTGGAGAAAGCTAGTTGCGGGGAAAGTAGTTTTGCACCAAGGCCGGTTTCTGCTCCGGCTCTCGATCGGCAACGAATCATCGATGCTACCGAAAGCCAACGAAGTTCGCCGCACGAATCAAAAGCGAATCCGATCCGACGTGATATGCAATGCAAGTCTCCACATCGCCCCGACGTTCGAGGTTGAAGCTGGGGAAAGCAGCCGCGCGAAACGAGTCGGCGAATACTAATACAATAGCCCTCATCATGTCTGCTCTCGAAACCACAGCCACTTCTTCATCTTTCCTCGAAATACTCATTGTCACAAGCCACCACAGCCATGGCGCCAGCTCAGATCGCTATCGCTGCACCCCTAGGGCCGTCGACACCACTGTCTACATCCAAACCTCTGCGCCATGACTTTCCCCAACCTGAAGAGTCCTCAATACAAACTGTCGACGCACTCGTGCGACATCGTGCGCGGCGCGATCCCCATGTCACCATTGTGTCGTATCCGCGCTCTGGAGTTGACTTTGTAGATTATACAATGCAACAGCTAGATGTGTTCGCCTACCGAGTAGCCAGACACTATCAGGCTTTCATCCCCACACGATCCAGCTCTGCAGAGAAGCCTACCACGGTCGCGGTGCTAGGGCCAAGTAATTTGGACTACATCGTGACAATGCTTGCGCTTACCAAGCTCGGACACACTGTGCTGTTTCTTTCAACGCGAATATCCCAAGCCGCCATTGATTCTCTTGTTACAACAACTGGTGCTACATATCTGTTAGCAGACTCCCGGTTTGCGCAGTCTGCAGCCGACGCACAGACAAATATCCCGACGTTGCACATCGGCGAGATTGCAGGATTCAGCACCTACAACTTTCCTATCGAAGTCCATGCGGATACCCGTCTTGACTATCAGCTGGATCACGCAGTTGAAACTTCGAATAATATCTACATAATACACTCTAGTGGTACGTTGTATTTACCCGTCTATGGCACCTGAGCTGACGCGAGAAAAGGCTCCACTGGGCTACCGAAGCCAATCTATCAGACACAGAAGAGTGCAATCGCCAACTATGCCATCAGCATGGATATGAAAGCCTTCATCACTCTTCCCTTATATCATAATCACGGAATCTGCAACTTCTTCCGTGCGATATACAGTGGCAAATCCATCCATATTTACAATGCCGATCTACCCCTGACTCAGTCTTATCTATCCACCATCTTGAGGCAGCACACATTCGAGATCTTCTACGGCGTGCCATATGCTCTCAAGCTTCTTTCCGAATCGGATGAAGGAATCGAGCTATTGAGACAACTCAAGATTGTCATGTACGGAGGAAGTGCTTGTCCAGACACTCTGGGCGATCTACTGGTGAACAGCGGAGTCAATCTTGTCGGCCATTATGGAGCGTAAGTTTCTTCTTTCACTTTTTACAACATACCCAGGCTTACGATAATTAGTACTGAAGTCGGCCAGCTCATGACATCCTTCCGACCTGCCGACGACAAGGTGTGGAATTATGTTCGTGAGTCACCGAAGCTATCTCCGTATCTTCGGTGGGTACCACGCGGACCGAACCTCTACGAATGCACAGTCTTGCCAGGTTGGCCAGCAAAGGTTGCCTCCAATCTACCAGACGGTAGTTACGCCACGAAAGATCTATTTGAACCTCACCCCACGATTGATAAGGCCTGGAAATACATTGCGCGCCTGGACGATACAATCGTCCTGGTGAACGGCGAGAAGTTCAACCCGGTCATGATGGAAGGAACAATCCGTTCGCATCGAGCCGTGACGGAGACGGTCGTCTTTGGTTCAGGTCGACCATACCTTGGCATCCTTGTGGTCCCAGCAATTGAAGGCATGTCGACTGCAAGGGTCATTGATGAGATATGGCCCGTCATTGAAGCCGCGAACCAAACAGCGGAAGCATACGCAAGGATCTCCAGGGATATGATTCAAGTTTTGCCATATGGTTGTCAGTTTCCACGCACGGACAAAGGCAGTGTGATTAGACAAGCATTTTACAAAACGTTTGCTACCGAGATTGACAACATATATGATGTGGCTGCATCATCTGGCGGCGATTTGAAGACATTCACTCTTCTGAAGATGGAAAACCACTTGCGTACGATCCTGGCCAAACACTTGCCGCAGGCAAGCGACATCGAGTGTACCACAGATCTCTTCTCGCTGGGACTGGACTCATTACAATCGATTCAGATACGGATGGACATCCTCAAGACCGTCGATATTGGTTCCAACAAGCTTGGCCAAAACGTAGTATTTGAGCATCCGTCTATCTCATCTCTCGCCACACATCTCTACAGACTACAGACCGGGCAAGAGGTTGAGGTTGTGTCAGCCGCCGTACAGATGCAAGACCTTATCACGCAATATACCAAGTTCGAGCTGGTTGATAGAAGACAGACTGTGCTTACTGGTGCGACCGGCTCGCTAGGCGCTCATGTTCTTGTACAGCTGGTCAAACGTTCGGACATCGACACAGTTTACTGCCTTGTACGCGCCACAGACTACAAGGCAGCAGCTCATCGTGTCCAAGAATCCCTCATCCAGCGGAAAGTGTATCATACCCTACCGCTTTCTGCACGCAGGAAAATCCAAGCTATACCTTCTGATCTATCTGAACCCCATCTCGGCCTAGACGACACAACTTATGCACGCGTAGCCTCAGGTCTTGCTAGTGTCATTCATTGCGCATGGAGCGTCAACTTTAACAAGAGCTTGATGTCATTCGAGAAGGACTGCATTGCTGGAGTGCGACATCTAATCGACCTATGTCTTGCTACATCGTCCATCAAGCCTGCATCCTTCGACTTCTGTTCTTCTGTCAGCACTGTCGCACGATGCCCTGATTTGCACATACCCGAGAAGCTAGCGGAGCTTGACTGGGCTCAAGGAATGGGATACGCTCAGAGCAAATGTGTCGCGGAGCACTTATGCTTGGCCGCGGCGAAGAAGACTGGTGTTCGAGCGCGTGTTCTGCGCGTCGGTCAGATCGTTGCGGACACCGTACATGGCGTGTGGAACGCGACTGAAGCCATACCTCTTATGATGCAGTCTGCACTTACTGTTGGCGCGCTACCTCGACTCCAAGAATCGCCGAGTTGGACACCTGTTGACGTTATCGCGAAAGCCGTGACAGAGATCTCACTCAGCGACGCCGGCTCTGTGGTAGCGAATGTGACCAACGCGAAAAGCTTCTCCTGGACCGACGATCTACTTCCCGCCCTCCGAGAGGCTGGCCTCCAGTTCGATGAGGTTGGACCCAAGGAGTGGGTGCGCAGACTTCGCGAGTCAAGTCAGGACGCTGTGGCGAACCCACCCATCAAACTGGCTGACTTCTTTGCGTCCAAATACGACAAGGATACTTTCGGCCCTTCGCGTACATATGAGACCAGCGTGGCCAGGACTTTCTCTCCTTCACTCGATGAAGCACCTGTGCCGGATCCGTTGTTTGTAAAGACGTTTGTCAAACAGTTCCAAGCTGCTGCTTGGCAATCACATACTCCTGGAGTTGCGAGGAAACCAACCAAGCAGGTCGTTGTAGTCTCCGGGCCTTGTGGCAGCGGCAAAAGCACCATTGGACAACATCTCAGCGCCCGCTTCAAAGTACCTTTTATCGAAGGTGACGAGCTCCACACTGAAGATGCTATTGCATCGATGGCTGCCGGCACACCCCTCGATGACCTCACCCGTGCTCCATGGATCGCCCGTCTCGGGCAGCGCGCGCTGGATATTATCACCAATGAAGATTATGAGTGTGTCTTTCTATCCTGCTCAGCCCTGAAGAAGTCATACCGCGATCAGTTCCGCGCTCTGATGAATGATCAAGTACGAGTTGTCTTTGTGGGTTTACAAGTTGATCAGGAAGAGCTGGTGCGACGAATGCAAGAGAGGAGTGATCATTACATGAAGGAGGATATGGTGGAGAGCCAGCTTGCTATTTGGGAGGTTGCTGATGTATCAGAGACGGATGTGCTGCCTGTAGATGCTGCAAAGAGTGTTACAGAAGTTGTGGAAGAGGCTTCTGGACTATTAGAAGCTCTCAGCTCCGCATAAGAAGCATTTTCGGGTGTTGAACGTGTATTTTACCGCTGTTGCAAAGCTGTAAATGTTATGGTAACCTTTAGACTTAATGACCAACTTCCTCTCACGTGCACAATTGTCGTTTGATATCGATTGTCACGCATAGGTAAGCGTGAAACATAGGGAGAGTTGCAAGACGTATTTAACGAAGTTGTCGCAAGCTATGTCGTGAGCTTGTCGGTCTTGATACGCACGAGTTGGTAAACGTCAATAACCTGAGCGATGAGTGCGACGAGTGCGACAGCAGCAATGTAACAACTCCCAAAACATCGCCATATGATCTCCGGCGGCTCAGGAACGCACTCACCAAGTCAAAGAAAGATAGCAATGTCTCGAATGATGAGACAAAGAGGTGCTTCTCACCGCCTCACAGGCATCCCCCTCAAAAAGAAAATGATAGCCATGGAGTTCATGCTGAAGTATATATCGGAAAACGAAATAGGGCATCGACCGAAAAAACCATGGGGCCCAGCCTTCGTATACGTTTTCATAGGTATAAAAAACAAGGAAGAACGCGCCATTCAGATTGGAGATCTGTAACGGCGACACCACGAAAGGACACTGGTCTTCCGTCGATATCAGAAATCTCGGGAGAGAATCTGATGTCGCTTTCCTGTTGATTGAAGCGGAAAGCCAAGACAACCCACAACTTGATCCTGAAGTGCGCTCTTCAATTCGGTTTTGAGGCGAATCTTTACCACGAAGAT